CTCTTGTTTATATTGATAATGTGCCATTTATTTTATTTAAGGCATGCGCTCGCCTTGGCTCTCCCGCTCGATTTGCAGTCACGTTCCGGCAAAAGGAGCAAAAGGAGCTGGGAGAAGGCGACTGCGACAGGACGAATGAATTGTGTAGGTTTCAGCAACTGCGAAATGGCACCGCCGAACACACACATGTGCAAGTATGTGTGTGTGGCTATGTGCAAGGACATGCCACAACTTGCTGTTGCATAATGCATTAAGTGCTGGTGGGCGAAGTGTCCTGGGCGGCGGCGGAATGGCAAGTTGCTCTGCTGAGTTATTGACTTGAAGTTTGTTGCGGAATTTCCAAGTGCAACGTGTGTAAGGCATAACAAATTAGGCGCGCCCGGCACCAGAATGTTGCAGCATTCCGACTGTGGCAGGGGTAATGCGAGATGTGGGGCCATAATGGCAGGTGTACTCCACTCGCAACAGATTTCGGTGATGCCTTAAGGCAACGAGGGATTTACGCATCTTAAGTCATTTAATGGGGTTCAAGACACTGGCAAAGATGTCATCAAACGGATTTAAATCAGCGTTAGTAAGTTGGTCTTAATCCATCATACGGGGGTCGCTTGAAAAGGCTTTTATCTGAGAACTGTTTAAAGAAATAAAAGTATAGTTGCTTTGCCAGCTAACACAGCTTCATCTCACCAATTACCGAAAAATACACGTTTTTTGTGAGCCATTTGCAATTTCAATTGATTCAATGACAACCGCAAAGTTTTCGCTCTTTTCCCTACATTTCCATTCTTTTCTTTCCATTCGTTCACCATTTATTTTGAGCAACTATTGATGATTCTCCTTTTCTTTCGCTTCCTCCCATTGCTGTGCGCTCTATTTCCCATTTTCTGGGAAGTTTTATTCAAATTGGATTTAGTTTTTTTGGTTTATTTGTACATTAAGTTGCCCTCGCCATTCATTTCTTCTGCACGGCTGCTTATTATTATTATCGATTTCAGTGCTTTCAGTGTCCAGCAATTCTTCGTGCCAAATTGGAGAGGCGAGGGCAGTGGCAGTGGCGAAAAAATAGATAGATAATGGAATTAAAAATAATTGGATGACATTGAATATGTGGCTGAGCGAGCAGAATCAGAGCGGCGGGCAAAGTTTAATTTTTTTCGTTTGTGTCAGCCAGTTCTTCCTGTTGTCTTTAAAATTTAATTACCAAAGTGTTGGCGAGGCGGCTCGAGGCGGACCGGAAATTCGAGCGTCAACTACAAAATTGGTATGAACAACAGAGAAGCCCGCAGGAGGAACAAGGAGCGAAGATGTCAAAGTGGCCGGCTTTGTTCTCCGACCATCTGTCTCCCTCCCTTTTTCGAGCGGAAGAGTTGCCGTTTTCCTTTTTCTTTTGCGGGGCGCCATTTTCTTTCTTTCACTCCTTTCGACCATAATTTGCATGGCACGGGAACTTGACTTTTGTCGGCCCGCCCGAAAAGGGAACGCGGAAAATATGTTGCAGCGGCAGTGTCGGGAATATAATAGAAAAATAAGGTGCCACACAATATGGCCGAGAGCTTTACAGTTGGTTAAGTAGCAAAAGCGCGCGAAGCGGCGAAAGGACGCCGTGGCAAAAGGCGGCAACGGCGGATAAAGTGCCACCAGGCCACCAGCCACCAGTTACCAGTAAACCAGCCAGCCAGCCAACCAGCCGAGCATCCAAGCGGCAGCCCAGAAAAACGCTCGGCGAGCAGAAGGAGGAGTTTTTCCAGCGAGGCCATCGCCATCGCCATCGCACAGCGCCAGAGCATGGCGTGAAAATTGTGTTGACAAGAAAATTATAAACCGGAAAATGTTTTATGTTGTGGCTATGCGATTTTTCCCATTCTTGTGCCCTCTCACTTTCACACTGCCATCCCCCCTCGTATTCTTCTGCTCCGGGTCGCTTCCCGAGTGGCTTTTAAAGTTTCAGCTGGCTCATTGTGGTCAAATTAAATTGAGGGGAAATTACCAATGAAATGATGCCAATTTGCTAAAAGGGTCAGAGGTCACTAAGCGAAAAAGAAACGCTTGGCTGAGCTAAAAGGCATTCAAGTGGCGGAGGGAAATTTGTAAATACTACATAGATAGTGAGTTGCATGCTAACGATTCTAAATATCTTTAGAACCCAGTTCGGTTGAGTAAAATCATTTTATGTCGAATTAGAACGTAACGTTTTATTGCACCATAAAGTTTTGAAATGTTTTCAAGACTAAGCACACCGCCTTGCTTGACATTGACCCAATTCCGCGTTATTATTCTGCTTTAACTATTTCTTTGTGCGGAAAATGGCATTTAAAAGTCTGAAGCGCGGCAAGCTGGCTATAAATTAGTGTCGCGGCCACCGAGAAAAAGTTTAAACACAGCAACACAGGTACACGTGTATGCAGAGGCACACAATCAGAGGAGTGGCACATAGGCCTTTCGTCCTCGAACCGACGGCCATTACACACACACAAACACACACACACACCGTACACTCGTATATTATGTGCTGGTTACTTGCCACGTTTAAGTTCGTTAAACATTTAAGCCCAGGCTCGTTTTGTGTGTCAAGCACACACACGTATACTCGTGCACACGGAAAACTCGTCGTCGGGGACAAAAAGAGGTGAAAATGAGTGCAAACACACTCGCCTACAATTACAGCACTCGAAAGGGGCGAAGAACAGAACAACTGGCGAGCAAAATGGAAAAATGCGGAGGAGGCTGTGGGAAAACGCTCGGCGAACGAAATTGCCGGGCAACTTTACTGCATAGTTAATTAATAGGATAACACAATTAATTTGTGGGCAATGAATGTCTGAGCTTTATTTGCCCGCCCGCTCGGGCAAAAACTACAAGTGCCCAAGGGTCACTGGGTGTGTGTGTGTCCCTTCCCTTTCCCCATCCACATCCACATCCGCTTCCACATCTTTTTCCACTTCGAACTTGCAGCTGCCGCCGCTTTCCCGCAGATGATGTGGATCCTGCAGTCAGAACTCGCTTATCACGCAGCTGTGGCTTCGGATAATTGCCAAAAGGCTTATGAGATTTCCCCGGCCTGCCCAGAAACTAACCAAGTCACAAGGCTGACCCGCTCCTAATGATCCATCACAGATAATTGGAATCGTTGGGGGTTGGGCTAGATTAATGACGGAACTCGGACATCGCTGCAGAAGTGGCCGAAATTTTGAATATTTAATATACTTTCAAGTTCGACACGGCGGAGATTAAATCATAAATGGATTTTAATCGTCGTTGCGGTCACGTGTGTGGCAAGCCACAAACCCAAAGGTTAAAGGTTAGTCTACTGCTCTAAAGGGGTTTGCTATAATTTAATAAACTGTGCTTGGGTTGAACATTTTCTTTAATTCCAACAGAGTATGTTATATTTGCTTGTATCGTTAATAGGATGGTTATAACTACCAAGATATATAGATTGAGTTGGTTCAGTTTCTTTCTAAAACAAAGATTTTCTTTCTGGATTCCTAATACATTCATGGAAGACCAGTCCCAAAAGGCAAACAAGGAAAAATAGGAGCACCATCCAGTGGCTCAATTAACAACGCCTCCTCACCTCCCAGGCTACGAAAAAAAAAGAAATGAAAGCGTGGACTCTGCGAGCCAAGGAGCTACTTACAAACATCAGTTTTAACTATTGTTTGCACACTCGACTCAAGAGCGACAGGACGAAGTAGAGGAGGGGGCCGGGCAAAAAGGACGAACTATGCCCAACTTTAAGGACTGAGCCGCCGCTTCGGGTTTTGTTGGGATAACAAAAGGCCGTTGGCCAAACAAGCTGCCAGCGACGCCTAAAAGCGGCAGCGAAAATTTCAAAACGTAATTTTTTATGCTGTCACAAATTTGATGGTGATGCTATGCCGCCGCTCCTGCTGATGATGATGGCATTTTGTCAGCATTATATACTATACATAAAATACTCCACTTTATGTTGCCATTCTTCGGCAGTTGTTTGTTTGTTGCGGGTAAAACAAAAAGCTTAATAAAGAAGAGCACACCAAACAGGCAACTTAATTTTTTCCCGGCTCCTGTTCGCCATTGTCCTGTGGAAAAAAAAAACGCTGCTTTCACCCTTTTGTTCGCCCCTGCTAATTTGCCGCGTTGCTTTTTTCGGGCAGTGAAAAATTCAGGGTTTCAGGGAAAATGGAAACCTTTTTGCCTTTGATTTTGCCTGCCCTTCGGCAGGTTGTTTGTGTCGGGTTACAAAGTGCCAGATATTAACGAAGTGATCAATAGAATCGATTCTACGGGGGAGGGGTCTCTTAAAGCTAAAATCTTAAATTATAATTGAATTATTTGAGCTTTACCTTGAAGTTGTCCATGTCTAAGAGTGTCGTGGCCTAAAATCACTCGAGTGGTGATAAACGATTTGAGTTAATCAGCTGGTTCTTAGAAAACATTTTATTTGGTTTACACACAGAGAAAAGCCCTACAATTTCCTTCATATTTTCATTAGTTAATTACCGATTTGGTGGGGTTTTTCTCTATGTTCTTAGCTTTGATAGGGTTTCGGTGGGTGGTGGAACTCTCTTATTTGTAAGTCAAAGCCAAAGCCTTCTACGCAGGACCCAAGACTCAAGCCTCAAGCACACTCACGCACACAATTCTCAAGCTCAGCTCGGCGCTTCAGCTGCGTTTATCTTATGGTTTATTTTAGGCACTTAGAGAGACAGCCACTAAGTATAGTGTGTATATAGGATACTATATATATATAGAAGCACAGAGATACCAAAACGAAAATGGAGTTTATAAAGCACATAAGCACAAACAACAAAAGCGAGACAAGATCAGTTTTCGTCGAGGCCCTGGATCGGGAATCGGTATTGGATTATCATATATATATATTTTTTTCTTGTTTTTGTGGGATGAGAAATCATAAGTCGTAAGCTTACGGTCTACGAGTCACACGAAGCGATAGAGATTGGGGGGAGGGGTTTTTGGGGGATTCGAGGGAGTCTAGTTCGTTATCGGGGGATACTGACCTTGATGCTGTCGTAACAGGCGGTGACCTTGCCGTTCTGGACCTCCACGTTGGCCGGGGGATGGGCGAACTTGCACTCAGTGTCCTGGCGCGAACATTTGTTGCGCTGGAACTCGCGGCAGACCTCCAGTTGCAGCCAGCGCGAGTCCTTGCCGTTGAGCAGGCTGTTCATATTGACAACGTTTGCCATCGTGTATCGGGGTATAGATATATAGCTATTTGCTGTTTACGGATCTGGGTTAGCTGGAGTTTATATAGTTTAGCCTAGCGACTAGAGAAAGTTTTTCTGTTTTTCTTTTTTGGATTCTTTTTTTTTTTTGTAATGCTCCTCTCGCGACACGCACACACAAAAACACTAAGTTCAACAGCACAGATCAGCACCTATATATGTATATAGCATAGATCTATGGCAGATGGTATGATTCAGTTGGTTGGTTTCTGGTTCCTATCGATTTGTTCGTTAGCGTTTTTGTGGAGTACAAAGCTTGTGGGGGTAGCTGATAGCTTGGGGCTATAATTTTGATTCAAATCGAACGCTTATTCAAATATATATAGATGTGTGTGTGTGTTTTTATATCTATAGATAGACGCAGCTGTTAATTTTTGGATTTTATATTTTACTGCTTTTTGTGTGTAAGCTGATTTTACATTATCTGAAATGAGAGTAAAAGAGAGAAACAGAACTTTAGGATCATACCGACTTGGTTTACATTCCAAGGAGAAAAAATAGAAATGGCGACAGACAGAGACAGATAGTCGTAGAGAGAGATAGAGAGAGAGAGAGAGAGACAGAGCGATTCTAAATATAAATGTGTGATGTGGAAACTGATCATGTTTATATTTTTTAGAGTTTGGGGTTAGTAATGCGCAAATCGGTTGTGTTATGGTTTTATGCAGAATGCAATGCTTAAATGATAAGACAAACAAAAGACAATCGACAGACATAACCATATCACTATGGAGTATTTAATATATATATATTGCGATAGATTCCTAGGCTAAATGAGCGAATGGTGTGCAAAATAAAAGTTCTCGTTTCATACAACTTATGATATAGTCACTAAAAATAGTTCACCAGACACACACTAGTAGGTATCTGCTGGTATATATAGTTTATATAGAGCGTGAGCAGCGGTTGGCGTCCAGTTTGCAGCTTTCTGGAGGGGCGCGGGGTTCCAACAGCCAAAACAGCCAACAGCCAAGGGCCACAGCCAAGTAGCCACAGCCAAATAGCCAAATTAAGCCTAGCCCCTAAGGCAACTCAGCGCAATGCACAAAGACCAAATAAAAATTAACACTACGAATAAATATTATCAACTAAGGTGCACTAATGGTCGCAGAGATATATATATTCATGTGTCTCCAGGTCCGGACCAGCGGTGTTTAGCAGTTCAACGTATATATTTTCGATCGTTTAGCTAAGCAACATTTAAGAGAGAGACACCGCCTGAGAGACTTGTATTTCAAACTCGTGTGTACGAGTATTCACTTTAGCCAATTTCTTTTTATAGCAATGAAATAAATTGTTAAACGCACTTACCGCACCAGAGAAATATTTTAATGTATTTTCAATTAACAAAATACTGCAAAGAACTGTGTTAAATTAATATTGAATGGAAATGCATTGGGAAACTGGTACTTAAGATAGAGGAGCAAAAATACATGAGTTTCGTAAATCTGTTAGTGATTCAATCATCGATGACGGCACACAATTTGATATTTATATTTCGTTGTTATTAGCATTTGAGTTGTGTTTGTTTGCTTTCCCCCTTGCACTGTATTTTGTTTGGTTTGTTTTTATCTCTATCTTTGCTTGCCTGCCTGTTGCAATTTTTGTTGTAATCGTGTTTGCCTGGGTGTGTGTGTTTGTGTCTTTAATCTTATCTAATCGAAGGCAGCGGAATATGAATCAAAGTTTTTCGAAAAGGAAATCTACTAAAGCTTTTTGCTTTCCTGCCTTTGTTTATTTTTGGTGGGGTTGGTCTTAAGAAAAGTTCATCGGGAGTGTCGAACTAATTTGGCAATTGAAATTCAAATAAACGAGCAACAGTTTACACATTTCCTAATGCGATCTTATTTGTACAAGTGCAAGAAATACTATCTCTATTTCACATAAAATCCCCCATTATTTCCCAATAATAGCACACCTTTTTTGTTATTTCAATTATCGTTCTTTTAGGAGCCAAAAAGTTCCTATCTTTTGGCATTTCGAAAGATATCGCAGCGCCGCAGCAACATTAAGTTTCCCCAGGCAAGTCAATTTGAAAAGATACCAGCGAAGACAATTAATAAACTTTATAGAGAACACACACTCGCACACCGTATCTAATTTTGTTAGTATATGGATTTGTGGAGAAGTCCGCATGATGTCAGCTGCAAATTGCTTTTCCGTATTTCAACTTGATTTCCAAAGATATAAATTGTGACTTAATTTATGAGCTGAGAAATTGAAGACCCCTCGTCTACGTGCGTGTGTGTGGGCTAATGTTTATGGCATGTATTAAAATAATTCTTGAAAACTTTTTCGGCCAAAACAAAAATCTCTACACCACCAAAAAAAAAAAAAAAAGAGGAAAAAAAGAACACGCAAGAGCAACTGACGGGACGCCTACACAGCGGACGTGGCTGGGCATCAGGCTATGTGGAATATATAGAAAACAGTATAGCCAACAGATACAGATTGAGATAGAGATATAGATACAAATACAGAAATCGAAGCAGCGCCAGAAATTAGCAGCCGTGTCATTGACGCAGTACGAAAATTTATTGCCAGAAGCGGGTGTGGAAAATGCTGCACGAAAATAAACTTCCCAATAGTGTTTAGATGTGAAATTGGGCCAAGAATAATCGAAGGTTCTCCCGCCTGTGCGGATATACATATGAGTACGTGTATAAGACGCAGATCGGTGCATCCGCCGACCTACAAACAACCTTCAGACTCTGCTCTCAGATCTAAGGACACTCGCAGCTCGCCGGATTTCGGTTATTAAAAAATCATTAAGAGAAAAAAGTATAAAACTGGCGGACAAAAAACGATGCAAATTGATGTAGACCCAGACCCCAAAGACAAACGAGTTCAACAAGTTTTGTCCGTAGGTTTTGTTTTCTTTTTTTCTGGTTTTTCGGACTCGTATCAAAAAGTGTTTTGAAGGTTAAACTTGCCGAAAAAAAAAAAAACAAAAAGAAGACACACTCTGAGAATCGGAGAAACCAGCAGCCTGGGAGAGAGTGATGATTGAAAAACTGTTAATTTCCAAAGCGTTTAACGCAAGTCCACTAAATATTTGTTCACATTCGCATTCGACTTTATGTTTATGTAAGCTGAGTCAACACAAAGGCAGCTGTTCTGCCGGCACAATTTTTGGGGCAATCCTAATTGCATCTGCTCGAGTATTTTATGTTTGGGGAATTATAACTCCCTGAGTAGGTTGTAAATGGAAAAAAAATTTAACTAGAATTTATGGAATTTTAATTCATGAGAAAAGTGCTTTTATTTCGTGTTGATAAGGGAAAGCAAATTATTTCATATAATATACTAATAAGTGGTTTTACTTGAATTTATTACCCACTATAGGAAATCCAGATAAGAACTAGTGATTTCGTTCCGATTATCAAGCCAAAATCTGGCCATTAAAAATACTTTAAACACAAAATCAGCTGTTAACTTGACCGAAATTTATGAGTGGTTTCGGTGGTTTATTTTGCATAAAACGCTGTTCGTTCGCCGCCGTTCAATTGTTCCTTTTATCGCCGCCAGCGGCCCCAATCAATTATCCGTTCCTAATAACTTATCCAGCCATCCGTATTCCAACACACATGCCCCATATATTACGTGGACCCATACTATATACACAGACCAAATCGAGAGCGTTCTGCTGATAAGGCGGCACAACACAACAAATAGAACGCTGCAGCTCACAGTTGGCTGTGAAAGCACATTGTATATTTTGTTTTTGCAGTATACTTTTTATACTTTTTTTTTAGATATGCGACTCATACCGAACTGTATACAAATATAACAACTCGAGCGCCCGCCGTCGACTTACAAAGTGATCCCGTGCGGGCCGAAGTTATGACTAAAGCCATACACAAGTCGCTGCAAATGCCTGGGAGGGCCAAAAACACGGCAAAAAGCAGGCATTTGGCTCTCAGCCCGGGGGCGACAAGTTAATGCATTTAAAGAAACATTTACGCAAGCGAAGCCGTAGCAAAACATCGGTCAGTAACCGCTGTGCAACATTATACAACGCAACGCTCCTCCAGCGCCGCAGAAAAGCGAGGGCCCACCCCAAAGGTATGACACATATATTTAACGATGCGCTCATAAAAAAAGTGAAAGAAATGGAAAAAACGAGGGGAGTTTGTGGGGAACCTGGTTCGACGGCTGCTATCAATAAACGAGATTAGATAAAAGAGGGTGAACCCTATGCACTCACACGAAATACACACACACGCCTCAGTTGCAAAAAAAGAAAGGTGGAAAATGATAGTACTAGCAAAGCCCTCTTTATATTCGGCAAACAGCGCAGTCACAAAGACAACAACTGATTAGAATAATTGTTTCAAAAATTCTGCATTTTATGTGTATGTGTCAAACAGAGTTATTCCACAAATTGCACTGGCGGTTGGCACCAGGAAACTTCGGCGTCTACAAAACGATCCGTGGCAAAAACTCATCAAAAGATGGTCGGCTTAAATGTCAGCCATAAATGGCAAGCGGTTAAACGATCGGCTTATGGCTTATGTCATTCAGGTGGGTCGAAAAGAGTCACTACGACTCTATTTTATTCTTCCAGCCAAAACTGCTCCATAAATGGAGTTTTGACTTGCCTAATTAATTCCCATTGTCATCCGTCAGACTTGGCTAATTAATTTGGCAGTACACGATGCGTGGGCCGCAAATCTTTATTATTTCTTTGCTCTTATAAGTTTCTAAGACTTTTGCCTGACTGCCTTCATTGACAGCTATTAGCGTTTTTAGTGAAATCTCTTTCGAAAGTTGGTGTTCATATAAAAGAAATACATTCATACACTCGTCAGATTGCATTTCTTTGGGTCCCTTATTTGGTGGGGTAGATAATTTGGCAGAGCTTTCGAATAGGTGCTGAAAAGATCTGCGGATAGATCTATATATGGTCTTATGGATATGACTAAGGGGAAGAAAACAAAGCGTGCCGAAAGAGTAAATAATAAATAAATTGATTCGATAGGGAAGAGCTATCAGATTTCGCAGGGAAATTATGGTGTTATTTAAGTAGTAAACTTACACATTTCCGCTTTATGCTTGATATGTGAAGTATATTGTACGATACCAGCTTGGAGCAACAAATAATATCTGATTGATTTTACCATCAACACAAAGTATTTTATTATAAACCTCTACTGAATGAAACTTTCGTTTTCTTTGAAAAACCTTGTCCTAGTCCAGAGATCTTTCAGCATCCATATAATTCCACCTGATCTCGCCGTCGTATTCAAATCAAATTCGAAGCTCATTGTCACGTTTCTCTATCTACCGAATTCATATTTAAATTTTGGTTCGTTCACACAAGCAAATCAATTTCTTAGGCGTAAAACGCGATCATCAGTAATTACGTCAGAGGTCGGAAAGCTATAACATATATTGCTTTATACACACGAAACCGAGGCGAAC